AACAAACATTAATTAACGAAGTGATTCGTACACAACAGTTTTTTGTCATACACAACAATTTATGTATTATAAAGTTGTACAATACAATACTTTAAAACACAAATTATTGTGTACGGAGAAAAAATATTGTGTACGAATCAGTTCCCTGAATAAAACCATTGTTTGTGTTCATTTGTTTTATTAAATGAACAGAAAATCATTTTCATATTTATTTTTAAATAAACGAATATAAACTAACGTACTACCCAACGATTAATCAAACATTTAATTCATTTACGACATATACCCATCAAAGGACTAGTCGTTAACCGACCACTTCCCTAAAAAAAATCAATACTTGGGTTTAGATAAAATTGTAATTATCGGTTAAATAAATCCCATTATCTACATTAACATTTGCGAATAATATTTAGAAGAGCACAACATCTACATTGTTTTTCTTGTGCCTGTAGTTAAAAGTGGTTCTTGCTTGAGAATTTTTTTTATATAAATAATACATATGTTATATTCTTTATTTTTCGAATTCGAACAAATTAAACCCACCCAATTTTCAGATTTTGATTTGTTTTTATTTTCTAACGCTTAGTTTGTTTTGATAAATATATATATTTTTTTAACTTCTTTTACATTTTTTTTAAAGTGTTTTCGAATTCGTTTTTACAAAATCAATTTTTTTACCGAATTACTATTTTTTTCATATTTGTTTTTATGTATATTTCTATTTAGAATTTTCTTTTATAAAACTTTTTTTTATTCATATTCATATATTTACATATTTATTTATGTAGGTTGTGAAAACATATAAGTATTAGTTTATTTTAAATATTTGTTTTCACAAACCAATATACATGTTTATTTATAATTATTTGTAATTGTATAGTAAATTGTGTCTTGTTATTGTTAGTGAGGCTTTAAAATTACAATGTTATAATTATGTATAGACGTGTTTGACAAAAGTAGTTGTTAGCTAACTAGTAGCGAATAATTGATAGCTGGTAACTAGAAGTTCTACCTTTTATTTATTATATGAATGTTTGACAAAAATAACTGAAAACTTTTAAAATATGTAAAATTACATAAAATGATAATTGTTTTTTAAATAAACATATAATTATATTTTAAGGACAATTTTGGAAATTGATTTAAAAAGCTCAGTTTTGTTAAATGCTATATGAAGTAGCTTTTAGATTTGTAGCGTTTTATTTAAACTAAAAGTTAAACGTCCGTACTATCAAACATAACTTATTGTTTAAACCGAAATATTTTGTCATTCCCAAACACTCTATGTCAAACATGTCCTATGTGTTTGTGGTTGTGTGCATGACTTTGTAGTGTATGTGTATGTATGGGGAGTTAGATTAAACATATAATCAAATAATATGATCTAACTACATAACCAAATGAAAATGGTCAATATTAATTTATGAACATAAGTCATTTTCATCTTCATATATAAACATATGTTCGTAAATGAATATTGATCATTGTCATGTTGTTTGTGGTTAGGATGTATTATTTGGTTCTGTATTGAACCTTCCTTTGTGTATGGCTATTTGTGTGTGTGGCAAAAACAAAAAAGTACATTGTTATTTTTATTTTTGTCATGTAATTTCTATCTCTCTCCGACATATTCGATTTTCATAAAAAACATTTCTTTTAAACTCTTGTCGTAACGTACGGACTTATAATCATCAATATATAATCTTTGAGACAATTTATATATATATATATATATATATATATTATATATATATATATATATATATATATATATATATATATATATATATATATATATAGAACCATTTAGTATAATAGATTTAAATTTTTATTTATGATGTACTAAAAAGGGTGTTTTCTATATAAAAGACTAACTTTACTTTAAATAATAGAAGAGTTATATTATATTAAATGGTTAAAGTTAGATATAGGTATATATATAACAGAAAGTAAGAAAGTTATAAATAATCTTGATATGTTTTTAGTGTGTATGGTATAAGATTGAATGGTGAAGTTTGGACGGGCCAAGAGAGGGCCTACAATCATCGTACTCCACAACATAATGAGTCCTCCAGAAGCATGCCCAACCACAAAAATGTCAAAAAGATGGAAGAACGAGGGTTGATGCCAGTAATCTTTGCTTTTACCTCACAAAAGTTGACAGTAAATCAAGGTTTTCTACGAGTAGATGTACAGTAGCAGTTGAATTCCTCCCATTACGTAGTTGTGGTGTTGTTACTGTTGGTGTGTTGGTGTACGATTGGACCTTCTCATCTCAATCTCAATTTCAATCCCTTCAACAATAAATGCCAAGCTCACATCTGTCTTTCCTTCCACCGACGCTAATCTCTCTTGATTCCTGTGTGTGTGTGTGAAAATTGAAAAGAAAGAGAGACTGAATCGTCCGGTGCGGTGTTGGTGTTACAGCAAATTCCTGAGCGTGATCTGAATCCCGATCGCCGGATTTACACACCATGTCTTCCGGCAGGTATATGGCTTACTCGCCTTCTCCATCAGCCCCTCACTCTCCTCACATCGCCGGTCTTCGTTCCGCAGCCACCGCCCTCGTCGAGCAAGAGAAGTATGACGTTTTTCCCTTTTTATCTTCATAGCTCCATGTTTTCACCTCGATCTCGATTTATGGTTACCACGAGTGTGTTTTGTTTCATGTTTTAAACGTTTCACATCTAAATCCTACGATTCCTGTTCACTTTCGTAATTCGACTGTTGGTTGTATCAGATGTGTTGATTTTTAAGAAAACTGATACAGAATTCGTAACAGATATCTGTCCGAGCTACTGTCTGAACGCAACAAACTCAGTCCGTTTGTGCCTGTTCTTCCCCAATGTTACCGGCTGCTGAATCAGGGTGAGTTTGTTAAACTTGTGCTGTATGAATTCAAAGCATCCTATTCTGTTTTTACCATCAGAAACAGTTGTATATACATATATATATATATATATATATATATATATATATATATATATATATATATATATATATATATATATAAACTAATAGAAGATTAACAGAATCCAGAAATTGAAATCATATCCTTTTTTTGTATGTTTGTATAATGTTTTTTGTCCAGGTTCTCGAATTATATTTGTTGGTTTGATAGGGGACGCATTGGTATTGAAACTGACAGTGTCTGTCTATCCATTCCTGCTAACTAGTAGTGTTTGTTAACTGCTAACTGGTAACATGTTGTTGCAAAATTGACATTTTTGGAGCAGAAATACTGCGTGTAACCACTCTGTTGGGGAATGCATCCGTTTTAGATCAAAGTGGGCTTGAACATGCTTCAGGAGGAATGTTCTCAAACGCAGGAGCTAACATGAACATGAACAGATGGTCTTCACCAATCCAATCAGAAGTACGGATTACTAACCATTAACATAACCTTTTTACTTACTCTAATTTCTTACTGCTTTTTACAACCTGACACACCACCATACATACAACAATACATCTTGGCTCTTGCTAACTTGTTTAACTGCTTGCTAACAAGTAACACCCACCATATACATACACAGATATAGTTTGTAAGTTGTAACATAACATCAACATGTGAGGATCTGTATATCTATCAATTTATCAAGGAGGTCATGGTACTTTTAATGTATAAATCCTGCTTCTTATATTGCTTACAGTTACAGATAACCCGTTACATTTGAGCAACTCCACTTGGGATGGTTTTTAGGGCCTTGCTTGCTTGGACATGGGTTTGCTGTCTGCCATATATAAATATAAATATATATATATATATATATATATATATATATATATATATATATATATATATATATATATATATATATATATATATATATATGCATGCTCTCAAACAGCATATTATCAAGAACTGTTATGCTTCTTTGAAAGTTTTATCATGCTTCTTTCTTTAATGGTGTAGAAGACACATTGGTGAATGGTTTTGTTGTTTAGATTCGTTTTTGAGAGAAAATGGAATTCTTTTGTGCAGATGTCAGCTTTACTGCAACCATCATCTGCACAGAGTTGGCTTGGTTCACAGGGCAGTTCATCAAGTCTTGTAGTAAAGAGAACAATTAGGGTTGATATCCCTGTGGCTAGTTATCCTAATGTAAGTTTACTTTTCTACTTTTCTTTTAATTTATATTTATAATAATTCTGCCAATAAATCTTCAAATATATTTTTTTATATTTTTCTGTTTTAATTGATGTTGCAGTTTAATTTTGTGGGCCGCCTTCTTGGGCCGAGAGGGAACTCTTTGAAGCGAGTGGAAGCCAGTACTGATTGTCGTGTTTTGATCAGAGGACGTGGAAGTATCAAGGATCCTACAAAGGTGATACAATTAGCAACACATTTAATACTAACGTGTTTGCTATTATATATATATATATATTTAAAAAAAATAAAAAATAAGTACATTGCAATTATGGATTTAAGTTGATTATTTTATTGATCCTTGTAGGAAGAGATGATGAGAGTAAAACCAGGTTTTGAGCACCTAAACGAGCCTCTTCACATACTCGTTGAAGCAGAATTACCTGTTGACATAATAGATGCGCGTTTAATGCAAGCCCGTGAAATACTTGAAGATCTTCTTAGACCCGTGGTACCTTTTATTTTTTAATCACATAACTGTTATATATTTTGGTGTCATTTTTTAATTCAAGAATAATAATTAAAAAAACATTCTTTTTGCAGGATGAAACGCATGATTTTTATAAAAAGCAACAACTACGAGAGCTTGCAATGCTAAATGGGACCCTTCGTGAGGACACCTCTCAAATGTCTGGTTCGGTGTCCCCCTTCAATAATAGCCTTGGAATGAAGAGAGCAAAAACCAGAGGATGATCATATGATGTCATCAATGACGTCATCAATTTCATGAGTTTGCTAACACAAACAGAGCATATGTTGCTGGCCTCCAATTGCCATCGGGGCACTGGATACTATTTGGATCCTGGTTTAAAAGTGTTGCTATATCATATGGGGTGTGTGTCTTCTATTTGGAGGAAACAAATGGTGTTCTTGAGAGTATTTATTGTAGTGAAAAAAGACATTAAAACTTGTATTTTATTCGTTGTTTGTGTGTGTGTGTGTGTGTGTGTGTTTGTTTCTTATGAGAGAGTTTTGGTGAACTGAGAGTTGTTATTTATCTATATACATATTGGTTTGTAGTTTTGTAATTCTAGTTATGCCCTGTTACTAGGGTTTTTGCACATTTTGAGTTCCTTTATGTTTCATGCGAATGGTTTCTAGAAAAACAACGAAGAAGTAAACATTACAACAATCAAAATGTGTTCTTGAAAGATAAACAAAACAAGTTTTAATGCTCAAAAGCTATTAACAAAGTGCATAAACGAATCTTGATCCTTGCTCACTCGTTTATGTCTTCTTCATCTTCAGCATCTTCAAGCCCAATCCATTTAGTGAAGGCGAAAAGGAACTCCTTGAAGTTAACCATTCCGTTTTTATCCCAATCCATTTCCTCTATAAACAAACAACAAACAAATTAGGACAATATTTAATCTAGTAAACTGTATATGAGTGTGTATCTTTTTGTTTTTACTTAACGTGGAAAAAATGACTTAACAGAGAAAGAAGACATACCGAATCTTCTCATGGCTATGCGCCCAGAAGATCGCTCCCCAGAAGTAGTCTCATTTATTGCACCAACCATCTCGTCTTTGCTAACATAACCATCCTTGTTTTTATCCAAGAACACAAATGAGTCGACCATAGTTTCAAAAGCCGTTTCTAGATCCGGGATCCCCATACGCGAATTCTATACATGTCAAGGATGTAACAAGATGAACGAGAAATAGCAGTCTACTTTTATCTATTTGTTTATGATAGCATCTTACTCTTGTTTCTTTCTATTACATTGTATATGCAATGCTTCTTTTCTTATTTAGACATTTTATTTCTAAAATTTTACCTAACGAACTATAGCATTGTACTTCCATTATTTTCTTTAGGACAACGCACTTTGAAAAATCTACTCAATTATAGCAGTGAGAATTGTTTTGTATTTGGATGACATTGCTATAATTTGGTAGATTTTTGAAGAAATGAAAGTAGGATGATGTAATAAACGAATAAATAAAAGTAGGTTGCTAATTCTTGCGTTTACCGAAAAATATAAACCACATTCCTATGAAAGTAATCAATGGATACGGATCGATCTTTATTCAAAAGATAGACAAGACACAGAATCACAATGAACTCCTTGAAGTTTATTCCCATGTCATCGTTTATATCACATTCCTCAAAAATATCTTTGATTTCCTCATCTGTAAAATCTATTTTCAACTCACGAAAGCAATGATTCAGCTCCTTTGGATCAATCGAACCACTTTTATCTTCATCTACAAATTTCAAAGAAAGACATGGAAAAAATAGTTTGTTTTTTTCAATCCTGAAAATACCCCTATACAGAAATTAGAAAAAAAAAAATGAAATGAAGAATCATTATTCATGTGCTTACCAAATTGTTCAAATATAGCTTTGCACTTGCGTAGGCTTGCATCAATTTTTGGGAATTTTAGAATTATTGTATTGAAAGATTTCATGGAAGTTCCTTGAGATTCTCTGCTACGCATTGTTTTCAGAATTTTGGCTTCAAGTTTTGTTGTAGGTGCCGAAGTCATAGGTGATTCATCGCCCTTAGTCAACTTGCCACCCATGGTCAAAGTAATATGGATGCTCCTGACATTTATGTTACAATCAAAGGAAAGGATTATAATCTCTTGTTGCGACTTGAAGAATTAGAGATAATCAGTTGCTTAAAGTCAATAGTAGTTTGATAATTTCACTTTAATCTTAGATCTACTCTTCCATGAAATGATTATCCAAATCTGGCACATCAAAACAGATGACATGCATATAATGTTGAAGTTAGCAATTTGCTTAGATTTAGTAAGTAGGACCAGACTGTTTGCTAAAAGGCAAACAGATATTCAATTTTATGATCCAACTTGACTTAAAGTTACTTTGTTTTTGAAGCAGAAAGCATAATCCTTAAAATAACATTATGAAACAGCATCTTCTCGGCCAAAAAATTCTTCATAAATCTATTCAGGAAAGAACAAAAAACCAAAGATTCTGATGCGCTCATAGCCAAAACCATTGGACATTATTATATTGTAAAATTATCGCCAATTTTGAAATTTAAACAGTAAACAGTTCTTACCGGAAGTACGAAGGCAGCTGAAACTCGAGTAGAACGAGGGTTTGTTGTTGTTGATGAATTAGGAAGTGAAAACGAACCAACCAGCCTGAATCAAAACGATAATATTATTAAGATGTAGATAACAGCAGTAACAAAGATCGATCTCGGTATGAATTTATGATAAACAGTTGTTGAAATCAAAGAGAATTTATCGGGGGACGTCGTGAAGTGTGCGTGTTGGATTTGAACTGAGAAAATGTCAACCTTGTTGCTTCTCAGATATTGAAATTGAAAGTTACGAGTTATGTGTTAGATTTGATCGATTTGTAAGAGTCGGTGGGATTTGGGAGAATCGAATATGGGGGGATTAGGATATACGGAGCTCCGGGTTTTGTTCATCCTGTCTCTTCCTTTCATTTTCGTGTTTAATTTATTAATTAGCGGATCAAGTGCAATAAAAGTTTCAGAAAAGGACAAACTTAAAATTTTTAAGAAAATATCTGAAATAAATTAATAAATGACTAAATTCTTATGGAAACTATCAGTACACAATAATTTTTTTTTTAATCCATAACAATTGATGTTTTAAAATGTTGTATTGTATAACTATATAATACATGAAATGTTGTGTAGGCAAAAAAACTGTTATGTATAAATCACTTCCCATTTATTATTGGCTGCGATTTTATCGTTTGAGCTACAATTTTATCATTTTTTTTATTTGTCGTTATTTTCATTTTGGACTGACATTGATATTTATAATTTCTTCTAACCTCGTATGGGATTTCCTCTATTTAATATGGGATTTCATCTTCTTATATTAGGTTACAAGGTGTGAAACCCGTATATTATACGGGTTTGATAAAAAAAATTTAATATGAAAGTTTAAATAAAATTTTGTTTAAATTTGAAATTTAAAATTTAAAATTTGAAGTTAAAAGGAAACACATTAAATACTACATGAATACTAATATTATAATTTATTGGTTATTTTCAATTAAGATAATTATTAATTGAGGTGTAAATATGATGTGTTAATTAAGAAAATATAAAAAATGAAAAAATGACAAATGGAAAAAACAATTAATCAAAAATACCAAAAAATGACATTGTTCAAGTTAATAAGAGAGTGATATGTGTAAAAATTATTTTCATTTATTAAGAAGGATAAAAATGTCTAATGCGTAACATTATCCATATATTAAACACTTGTATGATCTCATTTGTATGAAAATAAGGATAAGTATTGATTGTACAAGTATATTAATGACTTTATGCATTAGACATTTATAAACTTTCACTTGAGAAGAGGAAATCTTACATGAGGTTAGAGGAAATCCCAAATGGCCAAATGACATCTCTAATTTAGTCAGGCCAAAATTTAAAAAAAAATGGTTTTTTTATATATTTTTGAGTAAATCGTAGCTGTAATGACGAAATTGTAGCATGTGAAGAACCAAATGCAATTTCGATAGCTATATGGATCTTTTCTTAATTTTTTATTGAAAAAAAATAGGAAATTTGATTAGATTGATTTTTTTTTCTCTAAAAGTTTGTGGAGCACATAAATATGAGTTTAGTTAAACTGATATTTATGTGCTCCACAAACTTTTAGAAAAAAAAAATCAATCTTATCAAATATGAGTTAGTAACTAAGATCATGATCTTTGCGAATATATGCTCTTCGCTTGCAAGCATAAAACAAAAGGTCTTTACATTTAAAAGTCTATTCTCATGGTTTTTGTTTGTATTTTACACATGTCCCAAAAAAGGAATAACTATCATCCTATTTTTTGCATTTGTGGATAATTGGTTGAAGAATATACTCGTGATGCAAAGAAATAGTCAATGATACTTCATTTTCGAGTACATTTAACGATAAAAAAATGTTTTGAGAACATACTTATATATAAATTTTAGACATTTAGGTTATTTCGTACCGATATTATGGTCTTATAAGCCTAAATTACCAATCCCTAGCCGAAAGTAAAGTAATATTTAGAAAATATTCATCCATGAATGACGAACACACTAGCTAGGGAATGCGTGTTTATCATTTTTGTGCATGAATTAGTTGCTCACAAGTGTGTTAAAATTATCCATGGTGGTGTAATTGTATATACCCAAGTGTGTAACTAGGTCCGACCTAATACCTCGGCGAGTTGGGTAGAGGCCCGGGGCAGTAGAAAAGAGAGGGCATAAGTTTAGTCTATCTTGTTACTATTATGAGTATTCGGCCCAAATGAGTTTAACGTCTCCGATCTATGTCGCTTACTCGCTTCAACTCTTGCGTGTTTGATTTTGGTTTCCGTCTTCCGATGGTTACCTAGAAAATCGAAATGCCATGATTTAGAAGATGAGGAATAGATTGGTTTTCCCAATAATTGATTGGTCAAGAGGCTCTTAGTCGGACAAACAATCGATTTCTGTCAAGAAAACAAGAACAATAATTTTATAAAATCTACTATATTGTCTCTCGATTTCTCAAAATTCTCATCTCTTAAGAATATTATTTTTTTCATTTTTTGGATACCCTTTCCAGATCCAATTTCAATGACTATTAAAGGTGTTATGTTTTTTTTATTTGGAATTTTACCCAGGTGCGATGTAATGTTTGCAAGTTTGGTTTGGTTTCGCTTGGCTATTAAAGGTGTCTTCTCTGTACATCATTGAAAATTTTCAATCTGGACGATTCTGCCCTTGATGTTGTAGCATTTGCCTCATTGATGTGTATTGAGTTAATATTGTCAATTTAAAGTGACCTGGAGTTTAGTTTCGAAGCATATTAAAGGGATAGATTGGCTAGAGTATTATACCCTTGAAGTTGATTGTCTTAATTGGGTATTGCTGCAATTCTAACAATGTTTTGTTGCTAATTCCTTGTTTCTAGTTTCGATAGTGGAGCCGAAGAGTATTTGTTTCAATTTTGAGATTATATTACAACTTTTTTTTTTTTTCCGAAAGAGTATATTACAACCTGATGAACACAGAGACATTTTTATTTTCTAATTTTATTATAACATTGACATTTAAGATAATGACATTAAGGTGTTTTTCACAGTTTAATAGTTTAATGTATCTAGATTTTGTTTTCCTGCTTCACGTTTTATAGTTTAATGCATATATTAAAATTTAATACAAAAAACATAATATATAATTTTTATTATTATATTATCATTGTAATATAAAACTGAATTTTTGATTTTTTATATTCTTAATAACATTTATTTAGTTTAATACAGCTTAACAAATTTTCCATTGTAATAAACTCATTAAAGTTTTATATAGTCTTTGGGTGAGAAAAGAAATCTCACACTAGTCCATTTGGTTCAAATTATGTTTATAATATTATTAGTGTTAAATGGTTAATCTTTTAGACCATCTGTTATACCTACTACTAATCATTATAGCGGTGAGTGTCATATTATCACCATACGGAACCACTAAAAGGTTGGTATACCCATCACTATAACCTTTTTATTTTTTGATTTTTAAATAAAAATATTTTTTTTATTATTGTAGAGAGAGGTATATATATATATATATATATATATATATATATATATATATATATATATATATATATAGAGAGAGAGAGAGAGAGAGAGAGAGAGAAACTATTGGATGTGGTCTTCCATGGTTTGCTCCAAAATTAATCACGATCACTAGCTACCACTAAGCATCCAGATGTTGTGCATTATAATGGTTGGTGGCTACATAAACCACAAATCCATTTGTTATATGTATATCTAATGGCCTTATAATTACATGTATCTTTTGGGATGTGTACCATTCATATTGAAATTGTTTGTTATTTTTTTTTAATAAATTTATATATTTAACTATTTTCAATATGGTTGATAATTTCAAAACAAAATAATAGAGTTTTTGAATAAAATATGGTTGTTGAAAATAGTATTTACCAATTCAATATAGTTTAAAAAATATTTAACAAACTAGTTTTTTTTTTCTTTTTTAGTTTTTCTTATTATTATTATTTTTATATTATAGGTATATTTTTAATATTTTTTCTTTTATTTCACTTTTTACTGTCTTTTTTGTTTCATTTTTTTAATTATCAGTTTTTTTATTTTTTTATTTCTTTTTATTACTTTTTATTTACGTTTTGAATAAACGGTTTGACGTTATTTATACAAATTATACAAGCCATTTTGAATATCAAGTTTTAGTTATCTTAAATTAAAAATATCATTACACATACAATGTTTTTTAAGATGTAAAAACTCCAACATTATATAATATCTTTTAAGGTAAAAAATTCCAAAAACATCATAATCGCTATTTAAGAGATAAAATAAAACAAATAGACATCTAACTCAAGATAGCTTTTTATACACTAGATTAATTATCCTCTAACGAAACTCTTTTTAGAACAAATAGACATCAAATGAAAAACAACTCATTTATATATTTTAAGACTTATATTTTAATTTAACAAGTATCAAACAATAAAATATATTACCCAAAATTAGCTCCATTTAAGTCCACACCCGTCACCCGGTTAATTATATTACAATATACAAAAAAGAATTCGATTTTTTTTCAATGACAATATTTAAAAACTCCAAAAATATTTTTAATTGTGAGACAGAGGGTTTTAAAAAATATTTTTGTTTGAATCACGTCGTAGATTATTGACAGCTAGGATTTCTTCTGACACGCGTCCCGAAGTGACGAAACCTGCTTTCCAACAATATACACCGACTTTCTATGGCCGCTTCCTTCATACGACTATCGTAATCTGCAAAATAGTGTAACAGAATCAACAATTCAAACCCTACCTCTCTTTCGATCCAATTCAGGTAATCTTCCGATTGTTTAATCGATTTTATGAGTTATATTTAATTTTAGTGATCGATTTCTTGATAAGTTGGCTCGTTTCGATTTCATAGGGTTTAAGAGTTTGGTTGTTATTGTACGCTTCTTTACTGTGCGATAATTTTGTATCGATTTGTATCTTGCGTTTGTAGCGTTTGTTCTCCAATCTGCATGTTTGTACATGTTCAGTTGTTACTAGATTATAAGTAATTTTTGTGCCTCGATTGAGATCCTGATGATACTTGTTCATAATTTTACATTGAGTATCTTCAAAAATTTTCCTTTTCTGGAGAATTTTGATGTTTATTGTTCCAGTATGGAAGTTAATCAGGGTAATTTTTGTGATAAAGTTGATGAGAATTATAGGTCTTAGGAAACTAGAATCACCTGCAAGTTATAAAACTGATATATGTTACAAACGTTCATGAGCTTTTTGTTAAATAATTGTTTCTGCAGATTTGATAGCAATCAGAATCTTGAGATGGCTTCAAAGCGGATTCAAAAAGAGTTGAAGGACTTGCAAAAGGATCCACCTGCTTCTTGCAGTGCTGGTTAGTTCCCAAGTTTTCTTTATTTTTGTGCATATGAAGCTTTTGTATTTGTAGTTGTTTGTAATTTAATTTTCTTTCAGGCCCAGTTGGGGAAGACATGTTCCATTGGCAAGCAACCATAATGGGCCCATCGGAAAGCCCATTTTCTGGTGGAGTATTTCCTGTGTCCATTAATTTCCCACCTGATTACCCTTTCAAGCCACCAAAGGTACTCAAATCTCTAAACTATGTTGTTTCATTTTTACAAGAATGCTTTAGAAATTTAATCAATTTTTTTTTTTACATATCGGTGGCAGGTTTCCTTCAGAACAAAGGTGTTCCATCCAAATATAAACAGTAATGGTAGCATCTGCCTTGATATTCTCAAGGAACAGTGGAGTCCTGCACTCACCATTTCAAAGGTAGTTTACTTTTTTATATTTCCTGTCCTAAAAGCCAGTTAAAGTGGTCTCGGTAAAAAAATTTCTCAAAGTAAAAAAATAGTTTACTGCAGCCACTAAGTTTTGACAAAAATTTCTAGTACGACCACTTTAACTTGCTATAGCAACTTGTGGTCTAACTTTTATGGCATGTTTGGGTTAGCTTTTTTAGTATAAAAGTGATTTTTAAGAAAAGTGCTCATTAACTTATAGTTTTTAGGAAAACCTGGTTTTAAAAAGTGTTTGGATAAGAAAAACAGTTTTTTAAGAGTAAAATGATTAAAAAGCTAAAAAGCTAGGATTTTTCAGTTTTTTGAAAGCTTTACTTTTTCCTATCAAAAAGTTGTTTTAAAAAGTGTTTTTCAATTACACAAACATTTTTTTAGCTTATTAGCTTTTTAAAAAGCTAAAAAGTTAATAAGCTATTTTAAAAAGTTTTGCCAAACACCCACTATATTTTGTTGTTAGACCACAAAATGACCTTTTAATGTAATTTGTCTTATTTTAAATTTAAAAAAAAAAAAAAAAAAAAGTGAGAAGAATGGGAATTGTGTAGGTTTTGCTGTCGATTTGCTCATTGTTGACAGACCCGAACCCTGATGATCCGTTAGTGCCAGAGATTGCTCATATGTACAAGAACCAAAGGGACAGGTATGAGACCACTGCCCGATCTTGGACCCAGAAATATGCTATGGGTTAAGGAACTCATTCCATCCTTTGGCGTGGTGTGGTGTGTAAAAATCAAAATAAAAAACTAGTGCGAATAAATCACATCATCATATAGAAAAATTGGTTATGGGTTTGTTGCTTCCTGGTATGACAATATAAAACAAGTTGACTTTGATTCTAATACATGCCAGTTATATCTTATATGTACATAAAATGTAAATGTGTGTAGGATTGTAGATTCATGTTGTTGGTTGTTGTTTTGATTTGATAGGTTTATGTGTTGGGTCCCCTTTGTTGAGGCTCATTGTATATTGGACTCGGATGTCAAAGATGACATTGAGTAGTGTCGAAACCATGAAACAACAAAAATAGGCTTGCTTGACCAGTGGCAAATCTTGGATTTGATTTTGTTAGGGACAATAACCTTGTTTATTTAATCGGATACTATTAACAATAACAAAAAAGGCATTCTAAGATCATCTCCAATCAACTTCTATTTTTTTTTTCTCCCAAAAATGAAGTAAAAAAATTTCATCTCCAACACTACTTTATTTTTTACTTTATTTTTACCCTCAAAAAGTATATTTCATTCTTATAATTTATATAAATTGTCAAGCACATCCCTTCTATTATTTTGGTTTTAACAAATATATAATCTATATTTTTTTCATTACGATAATATTAAGTAAATAAGATTATATTTATAATACGTAATTATAAGTTTTTGTAAAATACGTTATTGTATTTTAAAATTTCAATATCTATTTAAATTTTAATATGAATTTGACAAACAAAAATCAAGCTTTATATTTATAATTAATTAATATAATTTAACATAGAACATAATCTTATAAGTATTAAATATTTCAATTAAATAATAATTAGTAGATAAAAAAACCAGAAATGTATAAATATATAAAATTAGGGACTAAAACCGACAACTCAAAGTTTATCTTAATTTTGGAAGAAATGAATAGTATAACACCAAATATGGTGTTATACTATTCATTTCCCTCAAAATTGGGGAATAAATACGGTAGGGTTGGAGAGAAATGGGGAAAGAAATGAAGGAAAAAATGAAGAATAAGAGTGGGTTGAAGATGCTTTAAGTTCAACTTACATATATTTGATTGGAATCAAATTAAAATTACTGTCCAAAAAAAAAACCCTACTCTTTTAAAAGAAAAGAAATCTTAGTTGTCAAAATAAAGTTTTGACAAAACTGTCAAAATGGTCCCTGTGGTATTATTTCTTTTAGGTTTAGTCAAACTTCGATTTTTTTAAAATAGTGGTTTTTTTGGACTAGTTTCATTTCATAGTTGGTCTTTCTGAATATTTAAATGACTGTAGTACCTTCGGGTATTTATTTTTCATTTTTCTTTCATTTTTTATAATATAATATTTACTTTTTAATTTTAATAATTAAAAAATAAAAGGCTCTCTCTCTCTCTCTCTCTCTCTCTCTCTCTCTCTCTCTCTCTCTCCTTACATTCTCTTCTTTTCCTTTCCCGCTTCCATCACGTTTTACATATGTGGATTTGGGAACTATTGAAGCTAGCATTCCCTTGATTACTCGTCCAACCAAAGGTCTATGTGCGTTAATATGTCAAATTTAACAACTTCTAGCATGGATTTGCAATTATGTATGTGTGTGTTGATTTCAACAACCACCTTCGAAAACCAATCAACAACAAATCTTTGAAATCAATTTGTTGATCCTCCGATTTCAAATGAACGAAATCCATTTTATTGGTCTCAAGCAGTCCGATCATCAAACAGTGTAAGTAGGTTATTGCAAGGTATTTGATTTGGATGATGAATCAATATCTCAGCCTACAAATCAACAAATGAAATGACACTAGTGTTCGATCTATTTTACCTTACAAAAACGAAGGGTATATGTGTCTCGATCGTGTCATACTCCTTGTTGCTTCCCTTAGGAAATCGTAAACCAACTCACTTTCTTCATTTGATTACATGTGGGATTAAAAGAATTGGACATATATTCTTGTTTATGTCTCACCTCTCCTCCTCGAGGAATTGAACTTGAAGTCCGGTATGTTATTAAAGAACAGATGAATGATTTTACTTGTCTGTATTTCTGATTATAGGTGGTGGTGGTAGTTATTGCGATGATGTAGGGTGAAGATGGTGATGTGGGAATCTCGATTAACAGTGGAGAAGAAGATGTTATTTGCGATGGAGATGTGGTGTGAACTCTATTGTGATATGGAGAAGATGGAACCCAATTACAAAGCACCAATCTTGATTTTAATCAATTATCCTCTTCTATTAATCGTTTTTTAGATGGGTTTGTTGTAATGTAGGTGAAGGGAGAAGGGATTCACACATGACTTCGTAATAATAATAAAAGGTGTGGGGGAAATTGATGAAGACGGAAACTAATGAAGAAAGATGAAGATGAAAAATGATTTTCGATTTGAAACATGATGCTCTAATTTGATTTTTTTTATTTTTAAGAAGATGAAGAATATGTGTGTGTGTATGAGAGAGAGAAAGAGAGAGAGGGAGAGAGAGAGATGGGCTTCTTTTTATTTTTTAATTATTAAAATAAATAAATAAGTATTATATTCTAAAAAATGAAAGAAAAATAGAAAATAAATACCAAATGTATTACAGTTATTTCAATATTTGGAGGGACCAAATACACAATGAAACTAGTCTAAAATGATCATCAATCCAAAAAAAATTAAGGTTTTGACAAAACTTCAGAAAAAATACTTACACATGGACCATTTTCTTTTTTAATTTTGTCTAAAAAAATTTAATTATGTTATTGTTTTGTTTCAAAATTATATTTTCCTGAATCCAATATCAATCTTCTATTTTGGAATCTTTCATATTTAAATTTAAGGTTATTTTTTATGGCAAGTGATACTTCCACTTGATATTTTAAGCCATCCACTTGATAAACTTATATTTTTTCTTCTATGCCCTTTGTGAAAAAACTCTCTGATCCTAACTTCTTTTTATTTTTTTGATTTTATATCCGTTTTAGTTTTTGATTTATATTGTTACTTTTCTGTTTTATTTTAATGATGGTGCTTGTATTATATTTATACAATATTTATTTATTTTTTGTTATATATATATATATATATATATATATATATATATATATATATATATATATATATAACAAAAATTAAATAAAGATTGTATAAATATGATACCAACACCGTACAAACATAATATTATCAGAATTAGTTAAATAATAAGTGTTACACCATAAATTAATAGAAAATAAAATTAAATGTATAATCTAAATTGGTATCACGGTCACAAATAAAATAGCAGCCACGAACTGACAATTTGAAACAACAATTATGGCGACATAATAGTGACAATAAAGAGGCATTCACCTTAGATAAGATCTTGTCCAACAAAAATATTAAAATGAATACATATTACAAAATGGAACGTCCCAAAACACAAAACAAAATTTTTCATTTTTAATAATAAAAAAAATCATCCTAATTTCATTCTAAGATATTAGATAACCAAAGTACGAGTTCAAAATTTCAAAAACCAGAGTAATAAACATAAAAGTCATATGGTGTGGAAATCTCCAATTGATGTGATACAATCTAGTCGTACCATTCTCCTTGCTAAAAGAAGCACCTGGAACATTTTAATTTAAACCGTAACACAATGCTTAGTAAGTTTCCTAAAATACCACATACCACACAGATAACGGTCCCTCCCCATCAAGTCATGTATGTCCAGCCCAATAGGCCCAACCCAACGTGCCCAAGATAACATGCATGTAAGTATAAACAAACATATAACGACACCCAATCTCCTGCATCGTATAGTGAGTAAACTCACTCGAATCGAAAGTCGAAAGTCAAAAACCCAAAGGCTCGCAACAACAACTATGCAACCCACATAAACCAACCATAGGTCAAACCTTAGTCTACATCCTTAATTCCTTATTTTGACCAAAAGTCAACGATCAATACTCAAAGTCAACGGTTAACCACCATCGACTACCGTGCTATGACTAGCTCTTTGGTCGTGTTGTGGTCTAAAGTTCATATTTGGACCCAAATGATGTATTAATGAAAAACAACTTAATCAAATAATAAAATAAGCTCTTAATCCTCAAACCTAGAGCTCTAAAGTTCATATTTAGACCCAAATTATGTCTTAATGGATAAAGTTTTCAACTTCATCCATCAAGACACCCCAAACCAACAAGATCTAAAACCTTAGTTTCCAAAAGTCCAAGATCATATTTTTCTCCATGCATGGAGTAAAAAGAACTCTTGCATGCACTCTTTAGCCCATCAAAAGTTCAGATTTACACAAAAACATGGAGTAAAGCTCATTGAGTTCTTCAAACTCCAAAGAACAAGCTTCAAAGGGACCAAAACATCACCAAATCCTAGATATATAAGTGGAAAGTAATCATACTTGGATCTTTATGACTTATAATGGTCCAGAAGAAACATGAGAGCTGAATACTTTATATGTATGACTCTAAACACCAATCTTTCTTGATTCCTTCACTCATAACACAAAAACAAGTACCATAAATGATTCAAAGGGAGAGGATGAGCTTAAAACTCACAAAAGGGAGGCTAAGTTTTATCTTTCTGGGTATGGAGGCTAAAAATGGAGAAAACCCTAATCACCTCATTCCTTAAATAAAGCTCAAAACCCAAGACTAAGGGTTTTCGGGTGTAGCGGCCACCGCTCCAAGGATAGACACTGGGTTGCGCCGCCACTTGAATGACATGATCGTACCGTGATGGGTCTCCACCACCATGTCGTGGCCAGTCAAACTCAAACCCCCAAACTTAATTAAAGATGAATGCTGAAATATTCATACCTAAAAATCGATGTTACACAAAATGTTCAAACTAATGCTTGCGAGAATCGTTATTTCAAATTGCGGTCTGTAACCGTGATAGTTGTTTAGATTACACCATAAAGAAAATTTTAGGTTTTTTTTGTTAACTTATGTTATGACATTTAATAAATCAAACAAATATATTCAGTCGATTTCGATAATAATACAACCATGTGGTATGTGGGGTTGGTTTTACTTCTATACCATCTTTTATTTATTTTTTGCTTCTTATATTTAAATATTATTGTTATGTATATTCATTTTATTTTAATAACATATAATTAAATCCAAATTAAATTGAAAAATAAAAAATAAAAATAATTAAGGGTCATGTTGGAAAATTGTGGTTTTCCAAATAAGATGTATATAAATCATAATTAAAAACAACAACAAAGCAAAATAAGAGGCGGGGTGTGGTGATTTCCAAAGGGCATAAAGACAAAATTGTAACAATTGTCCGTGTGTTTA